TCAGCGCACTGCACCACAAGTCTGCAATCCGACACCCGCCCCCAGAGGCCGCGAGCCAGAGCAGGGTTCTCACCCTGACCCTGCGAACAGACGTGCAGTCTCCAGCGCGCTCCACTTCTCTAATCTAAAAACTCAGTTGGAAGAACTCCAAAAGTAGGAACTTCCTTTGCAAAGAAGGAAGCCACACAGCCTTAATTCTAGTTCTAAGCCTCGACTGTGGTTGTAAGTTTGAACGCTCAGATGTGTCAATAGGAATGAGTTCCACCGGCTCAGGGGCTCCTTCCTGACTCTTCCACAAAGCCTTTGACTGATAAGGCATTTGAATTTATCTAGTACTGCTGCAAGAGGGAAAAATATCTCTCTGAACTCAAGGACCAACATTCATTCAGCTAGCTATCTTGGGTTTGCCTATCAATCGCCTTTATCTAAGACTGATTTTTAGAGCCTACATTATCATTTCCTACCAATAGAAAGTCCTTTTATCAGTTTCTACCTAGCTAAAGTTAAAAGGATCTACCAAAGAAAAATCTAGAGAATCCTTTTGAAATTCTCAAAACTTTTGCAAACCTAGTGCTACCAACCTACTAGCAGGCCCTCCATTTTTTAAAACCTATGTATCCCTGGCCTCAAACAACAATTTCCTGCTATGGCCTCCCAAGTGCTGGGATTACAGGAGTTGACCGCTATACCCAGCTCCAAATAACCAGCTAAAACTAGAAGTGGAGGTAGGGCTGAAGTGGTAGAGCATCAGCTGCAGAAAAAAGCTAAGCAAGAACAGAAGGCCCTGAGTTCAAGCCCTAGCACCAGCAAAAAATAAATAAAACAATGAATAACCTCAATCTTGGAAGCTTGTGGGTGAGCTTTCTGCTACCAGACTGATAAACTGGGCTCTGAGGGCTCTCAGCATTCTCAGTGTAAGATTCCAGGAACTACAGAATACCATGTTATAGTTTGGATTTTAAATGTCCTCCAAGAGCTAAGAATGTGGCTTAGGGGTTGAGTGCTTGCCTAGCATGCATGAAGCCCTGGGTTCGATTCTTCAGTACCACATAAACAGAAAGAAAAAAAAAACGGAAGTGATGCTGTGGCTCCAGTGGTAGAGTGCTAACCTTGAACAAAATAAGCTCAAGGACAGTGCCCAGGTCCTGAGTTGAAGCTCCAGGATTGACAATAAATAAATAAATAAGTAAATGTCCTCCAAAAGCTCATGTTCTGAAGGTTTGGTTCCCAACTAATTGCACTATTGAAAGATAGTCAAAACTAAGAGATCTAGATTCCATATTCAAGATGTTTGTCTTTTTGAGCTTGGCTTATCTAGAGCAAAACACGAGACTCTCCACTTCCTTCCATTTTCCTTAAAATGGTGTAATTTCCTTCTTGACAGTGAACATGCCATTGTACCACATTTTCATTATTATTATTAGTTTAGAAATCACTAATAGTGGGGCTGGGAAGGTGGCTTAGTGGTAGAGCGCTTGCCTTGCATGCATGAGGCCCTGGGTTCGATTCCTCAGCACCACATAAGCAAAAAGAAAAAAGCCGGAAGTGGCGCTGTGGCTCAAGTGTTAGAGTGCTAGCCTTGAGCTGAAGAGCTGAGGGAGAGCGCCCAGGCCCAGAGTTCAGGCCCCAAGACCGGACCCAAAAAATAAATAAATAAATAAATAAAAAGAAATCACTAATAGTAGTGGTGCTATGGCTCAAAGTGATAGAGTACTAGCCTTGAACAAAAAAGCTCAGGGATAGTACCCAGGCTCTGAGTTCAAGCCCCATGACTGACAGGACAAAAAAATCATTAATAGTACAAGGAGTGAGCCAGGTGCTAGAGCCTCATACTTGTAATCCCAACTATTCAGGAGGCCAAGATCTGAGGTTTGAGATTAGAAGCCAGCCTGGGTGGGTAGGGATGTCTGTCAGAGTCTTATCTCCAATTAATCACTAGAAAGCTGAAAGTGGAGCTTTGGGCTGTGGCTCAAGTGAAAGAATGCCAGCCCTTGAGGAAAAAAGTTAAGAGACAAGGCTGGGAAGGAGGTTCAGTGGTAGAGAGCTTGCCTTGCATGCATGAGGCCCGGGGTTCCATTCCTCAGCACCACATAAGCAAAAAAAGCCGCAAGTGGCACTGTGGCTCAAGTGGTAGAGTGCTAGCCTTGAGCTGAAGAGCTGAGGGACAGGGTTCAAACCCCATGATGGACAAAAAAAAAAAAAAAGCTAAGGGACAGCTCCTGGGTCTTAAGTTTAAACCCTAGTACCGGGAAGAAGATAGAGAGAAAAAGAGAAGTAGAGAAAGAGGAGTTGAGAGAACAATCCTATCCAAACTGGCTGGGAATGTGGCTCAGTGGTAGAGTGCTTGCCTAGCACGCATTGAAGCCCTGGGTTTGATTCTTCAGTAACACATGAACAGAAAAGACCAGAAAGTGGCACTGTGGCTCAAGTGTTAAAGTGCTAGTCTTGAGCAAAAGAAGCTCAGGTACCCAGGCCTTGAGTTCAGGCTACGATGGAGGAAGAAAAGATGAAATGTAATATTTGACTGGAATTGTGTAAAATGGATAATGAATGATTTTAAGATATAAATATAACTGTGCTTTCTGTGGATAAGACTTCCCTGGTAACTAACTAGCTATTTTAGCTAGTAACTGTAACTCTGTAACCCTGTAACTCTGTAACTTTGCTTCTGCTATTTTCTGAACAATATGAGCCCTAATCCAGCGGAACCATCCCCACCCTTTGTTTTATTCCCCTGCTTCCCTGCAAGGTGAGAGCAAAACCTTGGCGGGAAATTTAAACTTAAGATGTGAATTTCTTGTAACAATCATTGGCTAAAATCAACACCCAACCTCACCCTTTCCCTGCCCTAGCCAAAAATGCTTAGAAGCAGATGTGGGCTGGCACTCAGGGCTGTTTCCTGGGATCCCCACTCCAGGTGCAGTCCTGGCACATCAACACTTTTTGCTCAATAAAATCTTTTACATTTTCATTGCAGACTGAGTGGTCTCACTGCACGACCCCACTACACCGGGACTGGCAAAAAAAAAAAAAAAAAACCAAACTGTCACAGAAGTACCCCCAATGCACATGTGTTGGTCTATGCCTGAATCTCCCTGCTCCAGAGACAAGACTTTACACTCCAAGATCTTGTGTCTATTTTTGCAGATCTGCCGTGGACAGCAGGCAATTAACCAAAAGTATAAAGGAGGACAGGGATGGAGAGAAATACTGAAAGCAGGTGTCTGTAAATTCTTTAATCCACCAAAAAGAAAAACCTTGATGTTCTGGCTCTTTTCATTCTAATCAGTATGGGGCCCGGAGATCTGGGTGGCCGACAGATTGCACAGCTCCAGGATAGCCTCTGGCTAGAGGGAGGCTGGGGGCTGCCTGCTAAGAGCAAGCTGCCACGTATATTTGCCCCCAACTTATTTTTCAAACCATATGTGAACCTAGATGGATTCTAGGATGCATCCTCAAAAGGGCAAAGTGGTTCCAACACTGTGCAAAAATATTAAAAAGGAAAATTTGCAACTTGTGGGTAAAGATGGGAGGGACAAACTGGGAGAGAGCAAGGGAAGGGGTGACATTGTCCAAGACTAAATGTACTCTTTACCTGATTTATGTAACTGTAACCGTTCCGTACATCATCTTTATAGTAACAATCTTTAAAAATAAATAAAAAAGGAAAATTTGAAGCTCAAGAGGTCAAGTTCTCTCCACTAGAGGGAGCCCCAACCAACTTTATGGTTACAGGAAGCTTCAGTGTAGTTTCTCAACACCTGTCTGCTGATAAACCACTTAAAGATACTGGGGAGCGGAGGGAGGGGTAAGTAAGAGGCAATACAGTAGATCACTGTGAGAGAAAAAAAAAGTGTCTTGTGAACGCTCAACTAAACAGACTTTCTGGAGTTACTAAATCAAAGATAAGCAGACCAGGAAAGAAGTTGAATGCAGTTAAATTGCCACCCAAGTTCATGTATCCAGAGGGAACTAGAATTCCCAACTTTCTCCAACTGGTGCTCTTTTCTCAACATTTGCTTTCTCCTAATTCAGCACCCCGGAGCCCACGGGACCACCTCATATCTGTTCCCATTTCTCTGAAGCGTGAAACTTTCTTTTCTTTTTGGGTTAGTACAGGGGCTTGAACTCAGGGCCTCACACTCTTGCTTAGCTTTTTCACTCAAGCCAGACATCCACTTTCTGCTTTTTATTGGTTAATTGGAGATCTAAATGTCTCATGGAGTTTTATGCCTGGGCTGGCTTCAGACCAGGTTCCTTAGATCTCAGCCTCGTGAATAGCTAGGATTATAGTCATGAGCTACCAGTGCCCAGCAAAACACAAAACTTTCTTGACTAGTTGCTCCAATATTTGTTCCCTTGTTCACTATAGAATATCTTTCTGAAGTTCTTTTTTAAAGTCTAATGTCATTTTGCCAGCGACTCCTCAAGATGCCCACGATGGCTACTTTTCCTCCATACCAGCAAGAGGAGCAAGCTGCCTCATACATGTTCATATCAGAATTGTCTAAGTCTCCAAATAACAGGCAGTGTCTATCTAGAAGTGAGCCATAGCTAATCAACTCCAAGCCCTTTCTCTTCAAATGATATTTCGGCTTTGCGGGGGACAAGGGTGGAAAGGGTACTTCAAGACCTATGGATTTTAAGCATTGTGAGCTGATTTAGTCTGTGCCACCATCCTATAAACATGGTGTTTGCCAGTTGCCTGGACAACAGATAGCTTCTAGAAACCCAACATAACAGTCTGAGCCCTGCCCTCCTCCCCTAGAGGATGGGGCCAAGTTTGCCATCTTTGATTGGCTGCCAGAACCTAGGCTCCTCCTCGGGCTTTATCTGTGTGGGCTGTCTGTGTGTATGGGTCTCCACAGGGAGAACACACACAGGCAAGAGCGGGGGTCTTACAGGTAGGAAGAGGTAGGGTAGGGAAGATGGGGAGAGAGAGAAAGCAAGCCATTTATTTTCTCTAAAAGAGGACCGGGAACATTGATTTCTCCACAGAGAGCTGGTGATCAGGAACTGAAACTTCTGGAAAGTGTGGGACAGACTTGCAGAGGAGAATTCTGATTCTGCTTCTCCTGAGATTCCTGCTTCCATCTAAGGGGTCATCTTTGGGTTTAGACTTACGCAAAGATCCTCCCTCTCCTAGGAAAGCAAGGACATGCCACCTAAGATGAAAGAAAAAGGGAGGAAAGCTGCGGCACAAAAGAAGAAAAAGAACTCAGGTGCTGGTGAGTCGCTAGGTTGTTTTCTTGTTTTGTTTTTGTTTTGTGGGTTAGGGGTAACCCCAGCTTCTTCATGTCCTGGAGGAGAGACCAGGCAGAGGTCCTCAGATAGAATTCACTTAAGCTTTGTGAGCTGATTTCGCCAGTTTCCCATGCCTGTAAACTCTGTTTCCCAGGTGTCTGCGCAACAGGTACACTCCAGAAACCCAACATTCCTGTCTCAGTCCTACCTTCTCCCCCACTCCCCCCAAACAAGCCCACTAGAGGGAGCCCAAACCAACTCTTTGCTTCAGGGACCAAGGCTGAGATCATGATAAACTAAGGCTTTGCCACCTTGCCAAGGCAGATGTGGAGACCGAAGCCAAGCACAGGCTGATGCTGCTGGAGAAGGAGCTACTTCGAGACCAGCTGGGTGAGAAGCATGAAGGGTGTGGGGGTAGCAGAGGTTTTGCAGGGACATTTCTCCTTCCCTCCTTCCTTCCCTCCTTCTTTCCTCCCCCTCCCCCCTTCCTTTCTTTCTGGTACTAGGGCTTAAACCCAAGCCTAGGCACTGTCCCTGAACTTTTCGCTCAAGCCACAGCACCACTTCTGGCTTTTTGGTGGCTAATTGGAGAAAAGAGTCACATACTTTCCTGCCTGGGCTGGCTTCAAATGGTACTACTCAGATCTCAGCCTCCTGAGTAGTTAGGATTACAGGGAGGAGCCACCAGCATCTGGCCTGCATGAGACATGGCTGTGTCCTTGGGGGTTTGAAAGCTTGGAGCTACAGTTTAAGGTTAAGCCAAATCCAAACTGTCTCTTCCTTCTGGGAGGAGGGCTGGGCAAACTGGGGCAGTTATTTTCCCCTCTGATACTGGGGATCAAATCTAGGGTCTCATACACGGTGAGAAGCCCTGCAGCACTGAGCTATATAACTACAGCCCAGGCAAACTTCATAGTGCTGAAGGGCCCCAGAGATTCTAGAGAGAAAGTGACCACTAATAAAGTAAGAGGTTGGACATCCTTTGGCTAGGTTTCCAGAGGCAGGCAAGAGTTACCAAGCCCATAGAGACTGATACTGGGGGACCCCCAGTCAGTTCTGGGCACAGCTCTTCTATTACCCACAGCTCTCCGAAGGGATGAGGCCCGCCGAGCCAAGGCTGCCAAAGACCTGATGAAGCAGAGGTTGCAAGGATTGGAGGTTGAACTAGAAAGGGCTCAGAGTGAAACGAAGGCCATATATGCAGGTAGGTGGTTGGCTAAACAAGTGGGCAGACACAGGTCTGGAAGCAAGACAGCCAAAGGATGCGGGCAAGGGAAAAGAGGAAGATTCTAACTGCCAGGCCTAGCTCAGGCTTGAAAAGGCGTATCTCCCAGGCAGGGGTCTTCCAGATTGTGTAATACCGTACGCCTGATGTTTTGTACAATACAAAAGGAAGCCAGAGCTACTGTTCATTGCCTGGGGGTGAGTGGAGCAAAGGGCCATAATACCCATCCCAAGTAGCATGAGGAGAGGGTCTGGCTCCCATCCCTTCCCCAAGTTCTTAGGGTCTCCCGGCTTCTTAGCATCGCAAGAAAGTCCTCATGCTCCTGTCCCTCTGGACCAAACAAAGTCTTCCCCAGGTGACACTTCATTTGCTCTCTCTGTGCCTTTATTTCAACCTGGGTTTCTGGCCACCACCCCTCCCTGTGTCAGAGATGAGCCGCCAGCAACAAGCCCTGCAGGAGAAGATGGCGACCCACAGCAAGCAGCTGGAGGAGCGGGCCAGGGGCCTTCAGGAGCAGCTAGGTAGCCCCTCCCTCCATACCTGTCCCCTTTCTCTCCAAGAGTCAATGACATCCACCAGCATGAAGAGGAGGACTTAAAAGATCTTTTTCTAGAAGGCTGAAATCTATTGGTGGAGTTTGAATTTGGATCCCTTTACACCTGATTCTCCTCTGAGCAGAGGATACAGGATGGCAAGAACCTCTGAGGGAACTGGGAAGGTGGCTCAGTGGTAGAGTGCTCACCTAGCATGCATGAAGCCCTGGGTTCAATTCCTTGGTACCACACAAACAGAAAAAGCCAGAACTGGCACTGTGTCTCAAGTGGTAAGGTGCTAGCCTTGAACAAAAAGCTCAGGGACAGTGCCCAGGCCCCAACTTCAAGTCCCAGGACTGGAAAAAAAAAAAAAAGAACCTCTGAGACATAGGTACAAAAAGTCATTTTCTTCCTCTGTTTTCCCTTTTGTTTGGTCTCTCCAAGTTTTTGGCACTTAGTTCCCTCCCTGCACTGCTTTGTCTCTCTCCTAAGCAGAACATACTGCCTCTTAGTTTAGCTGACTTTCACTAGGAAACCAAAGGGAAATAAAAAGGCAAGACAGGTCCCCTAGGGCTTAGCTTTTTTGCTCAAGGCTAGCACTCTATCACTTGAGCCACAGCTCCACTTCCAGCTTTTTGGGAGTGGTTTATTGGAGATAAGAATCTCCCAGGCTTTCGTGCCAGGTTGGTTTTGAACTGCTATCTTTAGATCTCAGCCTCTTAAGTAGTTAGGATTACTGGCCTGGCTGGTCTGAGGCTCTTTACAGAATCAACAAGAAAGTCAATGACCCTGTGACGGTCTGTAATGATCCCACACAGGGTGCCCTTGGAAACTGTTCAGGACATAGCATAGTATCATCATCCTGTCCTTTCCAGCCTTTTTGCCCTTTCCCCCAGAAATATGCCAGAAAAAGGCAAAGGCTGCAAGGGAAGAGGCTGAGCAAGCACTTGGAGAGAGAGACCAGATCCTGGCTCAGCTTCAGGCTCATGTGACAGACATGGAAGCCAAGTATGAAGAAATCTTACATGTAAGCACCACCCTCTGGTGGCCAGACACTCACCAGCCAGTCTTCCTCCATGCCCACACCCCCAGCCAGTGTCATGGCTGACAATCCTGAGTGGATTGACTGCTCTATCCTGAGGGCAGCCAGAGAAGATATAACTGTAGTTTAAGAAAACACTGGCAGGGCTGGGAAGGTGGTTCTGTGGTAGAGTGCTTGCCTTGCATGCATGAGGCCGTGGGTTCGATTCCTCAGTACCACATAAGCAGAAAAAGCTGCAAGTGGCACTGTGGCTCAAGTGGTAGAGCACTAGCCTTGAGCTGAAGAACAGAGGGACAGCACCCACAACCAACAACAACAAAAATAATACTGACAAATGGCTGGAAATGTGGCTTAGTGACAGAGTGCTTGCCTAGCATGCCTGAGGCCCTGGGTTCAATTCCTCAGGACCACATAAACAAAAAAGTCAGAAGTGGCTTTGTGGCCCAAGTGGTAGAGTGCTAGCCTTGAGCAAAAGATGCTCCGGGCCAGTGCCTAGGCCCTGAGTTCAAGGCCCAGGACTGGCAAAAACAAAACAAAACACTCACAGAGGTAGCCATGCCTCTAATCCTAGTATTCAGGAGACACAAGCAGGAAGACAAAAGTTCACACTGCTCAGTGCTGGTGGCTCATACCTGTAATCCTAGCTACCCAGGAGACTGAGAGCTGAGGATCACAGTTCAAAGCCAGCTCAGGCAGGAAAGGCCATGAGACTCTTTAATTAACCACTGGAGCTATGGCTCAAAGTGGTGCAGCACTAGCCTTGAGCAAAAAGAGCTCAGGGACAGTGCTTGGGTCCTGAGTTCAAACCCTATGACTGACAACACACACACACACACACACACAGAGTTTACAGCCATCCTTAGATACATAGTGAGTTCAAGGCCAATCCCGGCTACACATTGAGATCTACAAATAAATAAAATAAAAAATAAAATAAAACAAGGGCTGGAGATATAGGTCAGTGGTAGAGCACTTGCCTACCTAGTGTTGATCCTCAGCACAGGAAAGAAGGAAGGAAGGAGGGAAGGACGGAGGAAAGAAGCTAATGGCAGTTGGCTACCATGATGCATGCCTCTGTAATTTCAGTACGTGGCAAGATCCAGTGAGTTAACTATATAGCAAGACCCTACTGGAAGGAAGGAAGGAATGGAGTGCGGGAGGGAAAGAGAGGGCACAGCCACTGGACAAGGAAAGCTTACTAAGCAGCCTAGGGCAGCCCTCACCCCTCTCCTCTCTCTTCCGGGAGCTGAAGCTTGGTGTCTGCAGGGCAGCCTGGAACAGCTCTTGGCCAAGATGAGAGCTGTGAAGCCGCAGTGGGATGGAGACATTCTTAGACTCCATGCCAGGCACAAGGAGCAGCTGCGCCAGTTTGGACTCAACCCTCTGGATATTTGAGACTCTCTCTCATCTCTGAGGCCCAGCAATAAAGTGTCCTTATGGAGAACTCAGCAACACTGTGAGCTATGACCTTTAACAGAGAAGCGTAGCCCTTGTAGGCACACACATCTCAATTCCTGATTGACCCATCATCCTGGAGACTGAATGACAGGAAAGAAATATAACAAGGTCTCAACCATTCTTTTATGGAAAACTAGGTCCCACCTGTTGAGCCTGGGGCCCTGGGAACTTCTCCAGCCACCTCTGCTTATTCGCTACCAACACAAACACAGACAGCCAAGTAAAAGGCTATTTTATTTTGGTTTGTTTTCTGCAGTTCTGGGGATAGAACTCAGGACCTTGTGTGTGCTACATAAGCGCTCTACCATGGAGCTACATCCCCAGCCTTGGAAAAGGCTATTTTTTCTAACAAGATTCAACCAACAGTGACCAGGCACCTGCCTCCACAATCCTAAGGTGTCCACAGAAGCAGGACAGAGGTGGTCTTCAAATTTTTGAGCAATAGCATGCTGGAGTCATATCTAGAGCAAGTTCCAGAAGGCTTCAATCCCAGGCAGTCCCCCAAGGCTCTCCTTTCTCATGAAGAACTTCTTCCTTGAGGTGCAGCTCTCCAAAGCTCCACACACACTAAGCACTGGGGCCTCAGACTCCCCACTAGGCCACCTGAAATCTCTGAGCATGCTCTCTGCTGGGAGGTAGGCCCATGAAGTGAGGGACCCTGGGGCAATCGTGGGTTTGTCCCATGAGTGGTGGTGTTCGTATCTCTCAAGGTGGTATCTTGTGAGATGATCCCTAGTGTCTTAGGCTGCAGCCTGAAGACAGGAAAGCCATTCAGTAGATCTGTGCCAAGCAGAACGGTTTATAGACTGGTGGGAGCCCAGTCCTACACAGAGAGAAGAGGAAGAAATTCATCCTATGACCAGAAGAGTTCCTTCGCCCTAATCGATGATGTCCAGGACTGGGACATGCTCCGCAGTTCCTTCTGTCTCCATCCTCGATGATTTGACGTCCCCACTGGCATATCCCACATTGTCCCCCTCCCCCCAGCAGCCCTCCTACTCCATCCTTTCTGCCCTTCTCTGGCTGCTCCCCCCCTCCCCCAAACAATCGCCTCTTCCTCCTCACCTCTCCAGACCCTGGGGAAATCCAGGCTTCTAAGCTCTGCTGAGTCCTGGCTGCCAGCGTCAGGCAGAGGGGTGGCTCGGCCTCAGACAGCTGCTGCAGCCTTTCTGGGCCTTTGTCTCCGCCCACAGCACACCCATTCACTTCCAGAACCACATCTCCTGTTTCCAGCCCTGCTCTGGCAGCTGAGCCTCCTGGAGTCACCTGGTGGTATTAGGTAAGGGGGGGGGAGCATTTAGAATGTGAAACACCATAGAAATATTCTTGGGTGTCGAGCACCAGTGGCTCACGCCTATAATCCTAGCTACTCAGGAGGCTGAGATCTGAGGATCACGGTTCAAAGGCAGCCTAGGCAGGAAAGGCCATGAGACACTTATCTCCAATAAATCACCAGAAAACTGGAAGTGGTGCTGTGGCTCAAGTGGTAGAGCACGGGCCTTGAGCTGAAGAGCTGCGGGACAGCACCCAGGCCCAGAGTTCAAGAATTCCTGGGTGTCCTAAGACTCTGGAAGGGAGGCAGAGGAAGGCTGAACAGTAGGCAAATGATGGAAAGATTCTAACCCAGCCAGGCACTGGTGGCTCACACCTGTAATCCTAGCTACTTGAGAAGCTAAGATCTGAGGATCATGGGATTCCAAGCCAGCTAGGGCATAACAGTCTATGAGACTTTTATCGTCAATTAACTACCCAAAAAAGCCAAAAGTGGAGGTGTGGCTCAAGTAGTAGAGCATTAGCATTTAGCACAACAGCTCATGGACAAAATTCAGGCCCTGAGTTCAAACTTCAGGACTGGCACTAAGAAAAACAAGGAAAGACTCCAAGGTTATGGGGCATCGGTCACCTGAGAGACAAACAGACAAAGTCCACTGGCCACACCGCTGAGTCGGAAGCCATAGCCACCACCAGGCCCAGGGTATAGGAAACACTGGCGGCACCCAGCAGGGCAGGGAGTCAAGGCTGTGTCTTTCACTGGTAGGTCCTCAGTCTCAGTCCGAGATGTTGAGTGAGGATCCCGGGAGGAGGCAGCAGTGTCCTTGTTCTCCAAGAAGAGGAGAGGTGACAGGCGAACCTGGCAGGGCAGAGGGAGCTCACCTGTGGCATCTGAGCTGCGAGCCATTCCTGCTCTCCCAACCCCCCCCCAGCCCCGGCCCTCCCTGCACTCACCATGTTAAAGAAGCGGTCAGCCTCAGGGTCGAGGACAATGAGGGACACGTAAGTGCCCTGTGCTCGGATTCTGCACACTGTTTCCTCGTGGCTCAGCCCCTCCACGCTCTCCCCAGCCACAGCCACCAGCCGGTCTCCGTCCTGCATCCCAGCCTTCTCAGCCGGAAGTCCCGGGTCCACCTCCCACAGGAAGTGTCCTACCACAGAGACAACCTCCCTGCTGCTCCCCAGCTTGCACTGAGCAGTGCACCCCCATCGCCCTGTACCCACCGGGGGACGATGCCCAGCATAGACAAGAAGGGGAACCCCGCGGGTGGAGCTCAGATTGGGGACACTACACACTCGTGGGCCCACCCGAAAGCCCACCTTCCCCACTCCCACTCACCAAGGCGGCCATCGGGACCCTTCTCCTCCCGGAGCAGGAACCCGAAGCCCTGGGGCCCCTTCTCCAGGTGCAGACAGCGGGGCGTGGCGGGCAGTGCCCAGCCCTCTGCCAGCGGGGCGGCGAGGGGCATTCCCAGCTGGCGACACTGTTCTTCTACTTCTGGCCCTGCCACCAGCAGGGTCACCTGCTCTCCACTCTGCCAAAGCTGTGAGGACCCAGCAGAGGCATGAACATCCACCTGAGTGGGGAGGAAGAAGGGGGTACCTCCTCCCAGGCACAGGAACGAGGGGCTAAGGGAGGGCCAAGCACAAACTGATGGTTTGTACCGACCAGCAGGCCAGGAGGTTGGGTGCGTGGAGCCTTGCCCCGGGTGGGTGGCAAGTGGGGGGAATGGGCAGCCATACCTTCCTGCTGAGTTGGTTATAGGTGAACTTGTCCACACTGACCCCGTTCACTTCTAGCAGCCGCGCTCCTGTGGGTACTCCTGCCCTCTCGGCTGCTCCTCCGGCACTTAGCGCCAGCCAGCATGAACCTTGAGCTCCTGAAAAAGAAGAAGAAAGAAAAATCACAAAAATAAGTTCCAACTGGCTGCCTGCCTGGAACAGGGGCCACGACCCCCTGGGCCGCATCCCGCCTCACCTTGGATGACACTAAGGCCAAAGCCGCCCTCATCCCTCACTACGTGGCACAGCCGGGGCCGGACCCCCAGGCCTAGCAGAGGACAGAGGCGGGCATCGCTCTCTTGCTGAGCTCGGACCACCTCATACACGTGCTGCGCCAAGACCGTGAGCAGCACCCGGGGACCGCTGGCCCGGATGTGGCGTACTACCTGAAGAGAGGGCACGTGGGAATGGAGAAGGCTGGTCCCCGGACCCACCTGGAGCCTGTGTGTGACACCCCAGGAACTAGTTCTCCAGATGCCTTCACCCACCTTTCCTACGGACACCCCTCACCCTCAAATCCTAGAGGGTGGGCAAGTGACTCTTGGGTCTTGAACTACAGTACCTAATGGGGTGAGGTCCAGCCTCGTTGTGTGTATATGTCTTTGTGTGTATGTGCGTGCATGTGCATATGTGTGTATGTGTGTGTGCCTGTGTGCGTGTGTGCATGTGCATGTGTGTATGCATGTGTGCATGTGCATGTGTGCATGCGTGTGTGTGCTGGTACTTCGGCTTGACTCGGGGCCTTGTACTCTCACTTGTCTTTTTCTGCTCAAGGCTGTCACTCTAATATTTGAGCCACACCTCCATTTTCAGCTTTTTTTTTTTTTTTTTTTTGGTCATGGGGCCTAAACTCTGGGCCTGGGCGCTGTCCCTCAACTCTTCAGCTCAGGGCTAGTGCTCTACCACTTGAGCCACAGCACCGCTTGTGGCTTTTTCTGCTTATGTGGTGCTGAGGAATCGAACCCAGGGCCTCATGCATGCAAGGCAAGCGCTCTACCACTGAGCCACCTTCCCAGCTCCACTTTCAGCTAGTTAATTGGATATAAAAGTCTTACAGACTTTCCTGCCTGGGCTGGCTTCTGACCCACGATCTTCAGATCCCAGTCTCCTGAGTGGATAGGATCACAGCCCCAGTGTCCAGCCTCCCTTCTACAGTGCTCCGACTACTCCCCACTCTAAGCAGCTGCACTTGGCCTTACCACTATGTGGTCCTCACGGTCCACAACATTGCTGTTCACTGCCAGGATCCGGTCTCCTACTCGGAGACCCTGTTTCTGGGCAGAGGAGCCAGGCTCTACCCTGCATACCACATGTCCAGCTCTGCCCAGCTGATGCTGCAGGTGGAAACCAAAACTCTTGCCGTCTTCCTTGCTCAGCAGACAGAAGCGAGGCTGCTTCGGGTTCCAGGGATCTGGAAGAGAGAGGAGACACAACCCCAGTACAAGGAAGGCCCTGGGCTTCTACCCAGCCAGATATTGCGCATTGTGGCTACACACTCCAAGGGCAGAATGACAGGGACAGAGTGACTGCCCCCCCCGCCCCTGCGGGGCCCCCCCCCATCTCCATACAGTAACTGCGATCAGAGGGAGGCAGTGAGTGGTTACCAAGGAAACGGGAGGCTGTGTGGACCTGTGGTGTCTCCAGGGAAAAGCAATGGTTGCCAGGGGGGCGAGGAGGTTACCAGAGCTGTCCTGGTGGTCTTCGGCCAGGGAGAGGACAGGATTATCAATGCCCAGCTTGGGGTTAAACTTAAACTTCCTGCAGGGGAGCAGGGGAAGCTGGAGGGAGAAGCTAGCCGCTGGACTTGGGCCCCAGGCTCTATTTTAGGGAATTACAGCTGAAAAGCTTCCCCACCTTCCAGATTCTTCTCCTCCTCTCGCCCCCCACCCTCATGCCACTTACGGAGTGAATGAAGCCATGTCCCGAAGACCTACTGGATAAAGAAGTGGGTGAGAGGAGAGGCACCTTCTTCCCTGGGACACAGCTTCCATGATCATAAACTGGACGGACTCAGGGGAAGCCCCCCATTCAGGCCTGGCCCTCTGCACTCTGTTCTAAAAGGGCTTTCCGCTCTCTCTACCATCTCACACACAAGGATTTTGTGTGCTCTTCTCCCCTGCCCTTCCTCCCCACTCCTCCAGGTCTGTGGCCCATAAATCTATCAACAGGGTGTGGACCAGGAAGGCAGACAGATCAGTTCACTTCATTCCTCTGAACTTCTATTTGTCTCAGGACGCCAAGACCCAACTTCAACTGTGCCTCAAGTCTCAAAGCCTCCAAAACACTCCCCACCCCCACCCCAACTGCCCCCAAGGTCCCCTCTAAAGAAGGTATCTCCCAGCTTCCTACCTGCAGCTGCCTCCATACTTGGATCTGTGCTCGAGTGTTCAGAGCAGGGCCAAGGTCCATTTCAAGCAGTTGACCCTCCCACCTACCCTCTCCCAAGTCCCACCTCCTTGAAGACCTTCAAGGAAGCCATTGGGTAATGGTTAACATCAGTAACTCTTATCCTCTGGGAAGTGAATTCCTTCAGTCCTCATTCCTGTGCTAACTTTCTCCTGAGATCCTGGAGCAGGCCCAGTTGCTCCTCTGCACAGGCAAGGCAGATTGTGAACTCGGTACCCAGCTGTCACTTTTCTTTCTTTCTTTCTTTGTTTTTTTTTTTTTTTTGGCCGGTCGTGGGGCCTGAATCTGGGCCTGGGCGCTGTCCCTCAGCTCTTCAGCTCAAAGCTAGCACTCTACCACTTGAGCCACAGCACCACTTGTGGCTTTTTCTGCTTATGTGGTGCTGAGGAATCGAACCCGGGGCCTCATGCATGCAAGGCAAGCACTCTACCACTGAGCCACCTTCCCAGCCCCCGCCTCTTTTTTGCATGTGTGTGGCAGTACTGGGGCCAAGGTGCTGTCCCTTAGCATTTCTGCTCAAGGCTGGTGCTCTACCACTTGAGCCATACACCCACACCTTCAGTATTTTGCTGGTTAATTGGAGAGTCTCATGAACTTTTTTGCCCCAGCTGGCTTCAAACTATGATCCTCAGATCTCAGTCTCCTTAGTAACTAGGATGAGTCGTGAGCCACAAGCACCCAGTTCAACAGTCACTTTCAACATTCTAAACAAAGTGATCCTTTCTTGGAAGCACCAGGCAAGAAACAGTAGGTAGAGCACACACAGCTTTTTAATAGCAGCAGGTCAGGTGCTAGCAGCCCTTGGGGCATTGTACCAGTGCAATACAGGAGCATGGGGGTGAGGGAAAGCACCAAGTGAGGGTATGCTCAGAGTCCACAGGTGAGCATCAGGCAGGACGAGGAAGCCCTTCTACACATCTCTGGCTTGTCAGACAGGAGAGGTGACCCCTGGTGGCACTACCAGAGGACCGAGCTAGGCAGAGTCAAGTTCTTGGTGGGTGTTAGACACACTCGGGTCACCTGAGTGCCTTCTGACCAAAGGGAGAAGAGGCCTGATCCATTTCCACAACCACGAAACCCATTCTCTGCATTTGTTTTGGTTTGATTTTGGCAGATTGGTTGTTGGCTTGGTTTGCTTCTGTTTTTGTCTTTGGTTTTTGAGATAGAGTCTCATAATGTAGCCCAAATGACCCTGAACCTACTATTCTCCTGCCTCAGACTTCCAAGTACTAGATTATAGGCATGAGCCACCTCCTCTGGCAATCCTCTCACTATATTTGACCCTGGAAATTCCAAGCTTAGGGGTCCTTGTTGGACTTGCCCCAGGGTGGGGGTAGGAGGGTAACTGGCACAACTGTGCTCCACTGCCTTGCCTCCAGCCCTAAAGGGATCTTTCTGGAAAGAGTACCACAAGGCGGGGGTGCTCAGAGGGAAGGGGTTTGAGGGCTGGTGGTCCCATAACTAGGTCTCAACTTCCAGGCTCTCCCAGCTGCTCCAGGAGGGCCTTGACCTCGCCTTCCACTCGCAGCAGCTGGGCTTTGCGCCAAGGGTTAAGGGTGGCACCGCGGCTGTCTTCCAGATCCCGTAACAGCAGCTCGAGGTGGCGCCGGACCCGGGCCCCGTCCCAGCTGTTGAGGTTCCGCTGGACCTCGCTGAGGATCACAGACCAGTACTCCGACACCGCCGTCCCTTCTGTCAGCGAAGCCACAACCCGGGCACCCCCCTCAGCAGCACCTGCCAAATCTCGCAGGACCTGGCGGCCCTCTGAGCTCAGTTCGTTGAAGTAGAGGCTAGGAGGAAAGACAAGGGAGGACATTATCCATTGGGGCCCTGAGAAGGAGGACCTGAGGGTGGATGGGTACATCAGGGGCAGGGGTGAAACTCACAACTCATCTCCTGGCTGCCAAGGACAATGGGTCAGAGTGGGCAATAAGCCAGGGATGGAAGGGAAGAGGCCCATGTTCAGGAAGGAGGGGGGCTGGGAAGACAGGGAGGGACACAAGCATTGAATGAGACTGGAGAAATGGAGGAAAGCAATCAGGGCAGGGTAAGGGCTGGTCACAGAAAAAAAAAACAAAACAAAACAGGGATCAGTTAGAGTTGAGTCACCAGGCCCAGGCCCAGAACACTCCAGGGTAAGAAGAGCAAGGGGATGGGGACATGAGGCATGGGACCAAGGGCGGGCAGACTTACTGCAGCAGCTCGAGGGACAGATGCTTCCGGGCTGCCTTGGCCAAGGTCAGGGCTGCCATATCGCCTGCACCGTTGTAGGCCACATTCAGCTCCTGCAGCTGCTGGTTTCGGTCCAGCTGAGCAGCCAACAGCTCCAGCCCTTCATCTCCAAGGCCCGTGTGCAGCAGGGACAGGTGTGTCAGTGAGGTATTTCCTGCCAGGCCCTCCATCAGCAGGGCGACCCCCGCCTCCGTCAGCCGGTTGTTGGACAGCCTAGGGCCACGAGCAACGGAAGGCTGTGAGGGCCATTATAGATGCTCTGGGCAGGGAATTAGGTCTTAGGCCAAAGACTGGGCATAGGCTGGGTTGAGGAGACACAGGACAGAAATGCAGATTCAGCAGGGCACCCCGTGGCTCACAACTGTTATCCTAGCTACTCAGGAGAGTGAGATCTGAGGATCAAGGTTCAAAGCCAGCCCAGTCAGAAACATCTGTGAGACTTTAATCTCTAATTAATCACCAAAAAAGGTGGAAGTGGAGCTGTGGCTCAAATGGTAAAACAATAGCCTTGAACAAAAGAGCTGAGGGACTGCCCAGGCCCTGAGTTCAAGCCCTAGGAACAGCATACACATGGGCGCGCGCACACGCACACACACACACACACACACACACACACACACACACACACACAAACTACAGGCCCAGAAGGGAACAGGAAAGTGGGTGCTGCCCCTGCCAAGGAAAGTAGGAAAAGCTGACTTCTTTTCTTTTCTCTCTCCTTTCCCTTCCTTGCCTTTGTTTCCTTGCTTCTTCTTTTCCTGTCCCTGTCTTTCTTCCTGCCCTTCCAACCTCTTCTTCCTCTTCCTCTCTCCTTCTGCTATCTTCCTTTCTCATTCACCTCCAGGCAACTGGAATCTTGGTGAACCATCCAACACCACACCTTGTGAGGCTGTCGCAGGAGACAGCTTAGGTCATCCAGCTGAGGCTGCTGGGGAAAAGCTGGCTGTTTCCAAGCCTCCAGCCCAGATATTACAGCAACCTCTCCACCTACCACCCCCTTCTCCAAGGCTGATATTCACCACGAGAGCTTTTCTTCTTTTTCTTCTTTTGTGTTTGTCAGTTGTGGGGTTTCAATTCAGGGCCCTGGTGCTTTCCCTGAGCTCTTTTGCCAGTTGTGGGGTTTGAATTCAGGGCCTGGGTGCTGTGCCTGAGCTCTTTTGCTCAAGGCTAGTGCTCAGCCACTTTGAACCACAGCTCTACTTCCGGTTATCTGGTGGATTATTAGAGATAAGTCTCATGGACTCTTGGGCTGACCCTCCTGCCTGGGCTGACTTCGAACCTCAATCCTCAGATCTCAGCCTCCTGAGTAGCTAGGATTACAAGCATGAGCCACCAGTGCCCAGCTACTAAGCCTTTCTTAACATCTTCTTTGTTAACATCTTTACCCCATCCCTCTGCTTCCAATGGACCTGGGCATACCTGGGGAAGGTTAGAACCTTGACTCCCACCATCTTTACTGTGGCCTAGGTGGGCCTGTGTCAGGCACACTGTGAGGCATGGAGTTTGCCCTGGCCTGAGCAGACCCTTAGGTCAGAGCCTCTCCAGCCCCTGTCCAGCACTCACCGCAGCGTGTTGATTTGGCACTGGTCATGCAGCAGCAGGTCTCGGAGGTCCCTGCAGGCTTCGGGGCCCAAGTTGTTGAGTTGTAAGCTAGAGCAGAAAGAAGATAGAAGGGAAGAAAGGGACAAAGAAAGCAGCTTGGTCTCCCCATCCACAGGCCTGGATCTCACCAGCCTGCCTCCCAGAGCCACATGCCCTCTGTTGCTTCTGTCACCTTCACCCAAACCAATTTCTCCATCCCATCCTGCTATGGCCTGGAGGTGGCTTGTCCCTCAAGGGACATGAGTTTGGAGACATGGCCCCCAGTTGGTGATAACTGAGATAGTCTAGAATCTTGAGAGGTGGGACCTGGTGCAAAGGTGAGGAGATCATTGGCGAGGGGATTCATGGTGGACGCACAGAGCGAGTTAGGTCTCATGAGAAAGGGTTGTTTTAAAGCAATCCCACTCCATGTGCTCAGTCTCTTCTGAACGGAGCTGTTTCCTTTTCTGCCCTTTTAACCACATTACAACACAGCAAAAGAAGCACCAATAGAGACTCCTGTCTAGTCTAAGCCTTCAGCCTCCAAAGCCCTGAGCTATGTCGACCTGTTTTCTTTATAAACTACCCAGCCTCAGGCCTTTTGCTATAATAAAAGAAAATAAACTAAGAAGCAGCAGCTGGTCCTTCCTCTCCCTCTCTTCCCTGCTTCACCTCCAACCCTCTCCTCTCATCGTTACCTATGCACCAGGACAGGTGCTCACCCCAGCTTCCGGGCACGCAGCAAGACCGGCATGAGCGTGCGCAGCCCAGCAGGGTCGAGCTGGCAGGAGGCCAAGTTCACCTCATCCAGGGCATGCTTCCCGCTGCCCAGCACAGCTGCCACTACCGTGCACTTGAGGGGTGTCATGCGCACGCCCGCCAAGTTCAGCTGGCGCAGGGAGCTGAGCACCTCGGCAGAGAAGCGCTGGTTCTGGAACTCGTAGTGGAAGAAGAGGTGGTCCAGGAGCTCTGACGGGGGCAGCACCTGCCGGCCCAGCTTGCCCAGCTTCTTCTTAATGGCCTGGGCATTCTCCAGGGCATCCAGGTTCTTGATGGGGCAGCCAAGCTGAGCCAGCACGGCCCGATTGTGGGCAGACAGGAGGCCCCCCATGAACATGGGGAAGAGCTCAAATACCTCGTCCTCGGGGGGCTCATCTGGGTGACG